GTTTTACGATGAAATAATAAAGAAAAACGATTTTTTATTTATTTTTATTTTTGTTTTCTTTTGCTTCATTACAATCTAAAGCTGATTTGTAATCTGCTCAAAAAAATATATATATATATATGTATATATATATTCTCAACTATGTGCGCACATGTTCTTTGAATGCATATGTTTATACACGTACATTTACTTTTGATTATTTAATAATATTATAATTTCTATTACAGATTTTGAATTCAATTTGCTTATCTACCTAGCCTGTGTGGTCTTTACGTTTAATATTTCTTCTCCAATACAATCGAGACAATACAGACAGACATACAATTATGGAGACATAAAGAAACACAATCGAGTGAATCGAGTTTCATTTTCACAATTATTGATCAAACAATTTTGTTAGTTACAATTTCTATCTAAACAAAAACGTGTGCATTCATACAGTTACACATTCAAAATAATGTTTATTACCATTACAGACACAAATTTTATTTTATTTATTTATTTATTTTTTTCTTTGTATATCTAGCTTGATTGGCAAGATAATGTAAAAATATGTTTTTTAGAAAGAATTTCCTTAATAGCTAATCCTTGATTTTACGTGCACTTTCAAAAAAGGAGTAAATAGGAAAAAAAGATTTACATAGAATTTTTATTTTAAATATCAAGACTCACTAACTTTGTTAAAGATTGGAAAAAACTACTAAGGATTATATAAAATCCTTCGTATAATTTTTGTAGCCCACTACAAGACAGTCTTGAACGAATGGTGAATGCTCGGCCAATAAAGAAATAAAACTTATTGCCTGGGCATGCATTCGCTGCAACCATCTTTACACCTCTTTTTCTTTCGTCACATCGTTCAGACTATCTTTGTGTTACGGGTCATCATCCCCTGAGTTATTGGTACTTTAAAAAAAACGCGGTGTTTTCTTGGGTTAAATTTGTTTGTTGTTTGGAGGAAATAAATATTCATGGAACCCATAGATGAAAAAGTGATTTATGTGTTATTAGCGTATGTCGCTGTTAAAATATTGTCAGCGATGGGAATATTTGAGTGAAAAATTGCATAGAGTATTGGTTATTTCAATACCAATATATATATTGGACCGGTCATTTGCAACTTTAGGATAGAAGCGTCTGTTTTGCAAACAAAAACTAAGTAGCAAATACATAGGAGTTAGAAGACATTTTCTAAGTTTCTAAAGTAGCCCATCGAAGCCCTTTTTCACATCTAAGAATTTCGAACCCACATTTGTTTTCGTAAGCCCGCACAAAGTGACGAACGCTTCATTAACCGAAAAGGCAAGTATAATCTGCACGAAATAGCGATAAGTTAGCCTACGTATTTGTTTATATTTTTGCATGTATATAAATATTTGCAAGGTTTGCGACTGCGACATGAAAATTATGGTAGCAAACTTTAGATTTTCTTGATCAGGCTATGATTGGCATGTGTGGAGGCCTTCCAGCGTTTAGCTGGAAGACCACGGGACGGGGAATGAAAGTAATTGGCTTCTCGTCGTTGGCTTCTTTGTAAGCCGTGAAGTAATCTAAATGCTATGTGGTTTTACCATTCAAATGATATCGGTAACCCATAAGAGCCGTGGCTAACCTGAAATATGATAATATTCGTTGCAAAGCAAAGCTTACTGTTGAGAGATGCAATGATTTGTATATTTTTTAAAACTCTACATTAAGCTTGTTTATTTTTCAATGACGATGGTGTATTTTAATGGAACAGCGGAAGAACAGATACGTCAAATTCCGAAATTCGGGGTTTAACTTTTGCAATTTCGGCAACCTATTTTGACGACGATGTCGGATTTTAGTTGCGGAACTTACCAATTAAAGCGAATAGGTAGGTAACTAGGAACTTATCTATCCTATGCACTTTTAAATCGAATTTCGTTGAAATAAAGCGAAGGAATCCATTTTAAGATGTTTTGTGAAATTTACAAAGTTGGCTTTTATTTATATGACATAAAATTTCTTTTGCAATTCATTCAAAAACATTTTACATTCTTTGTAGGTAAATTCGTATGTTAATAAATAAATAAATAAAATAAAAGCAAACTAGAAGCTTACATTCGCAATTCAAGATTCTTTTCCCAAGAAGTGGAAATATGAAAACATTATGTATAATATAACAATGCAGGATCATGAGGTTTGCCTATAAACAAACAAACAATAAATTTTTCCCTGATTTTCCCAATATTTTTTCCAAATAAATTTCGAGTGACGCAACCCATACAAAAGCAAAATAATCACTGCCCTAATTTAAACAACTTTGTGATACACACAGTCAAGACTACGCACTCGTAAGTAGGGTAATCCACGTATCACGTATGTGAAACTTAATATACTTTCGCGAGCCAGCCGATAGTTGGTAAAAGCTTTTGTTGCGATCACGTAAGACTTTCGTAAATGAAAAAGAAGAAAACAGTAACAAATGTTCGTTTACATTTATTTGTGGCTGTCGAAATACCAAAAATAATAGGTGGGACTTCCAATTGATGAATTAACATATGCGCAGATCATTAATGAAATAGTTACCCGCTTGCCAAACGCGTGCGAGAAGCACGAGTCGTTCAAGAGATTCGCAAATTTGCTGAGAAGGAAGTATGAAAACTCCTGATTTTAAAATCGACTACCGCTTCACTAAACATATTTCGAAAGTAATTCTTGGGGATTTTTTCAATTAATGAAAGTGAAAATTGCGTTATTTCCTAAAACAATAGATGTGCGCCTTTTCGTATTGGCGTACGTTTAACTCGACGCCATAATGTTGGTGAAAATCCTCCCAATATATTGATTACTTTTGTTTCGGCGGCCACATTCAAACATTTTCAAACTGAAAATGTTAAGTCTAATGATGGTTGCGATTAAAATGAGTATTTATTCTAATAAGCAGAAAGGGCTTCAAATTCAAGATTGACAATGTTTTCTGCCATCTTCCTACGTCATCAGCAGTTTTTTCAATAAATAGAATCGTTAGCTTGGATTAAGATGCTATCGTTTTTAGTTTAGCTAGTTATGGGAGAAATAATTAGTAAGTATGCATAATAAATGTACAGTAAAATGTAACCAATTTATTAGTCTCTTTGTTAGTATTTAATACAGGCAAGTAATATTATATGAGCACATAATCACGCACTATGGGGCTGGGAATCATAAATATTTCCTTAAGATGAAATTTTAAAGTATTCCAGAAGTAAATCGATAATGAAAGACGCTTCCAAGAGACCGTTCAAAAATTATTAATTAGATTGTTAATAGAGAAAATAGAGGAAAGTGGAAAAGTAAAAGGTCGATTTGCTCTTTCACCAGATCCCAAATGATTTCGAATGACAGCGAGGAACCTAGTTAAATCCTTTAAGTTTCTGAAATGCATTAAGGAAGGCTAATCTTCAAATACGCAAGATTGCGCTTTTACCGCTTTTTTGTTCTGAAATAATATATTGGTCTCAATGTTTTCTTAACATTTCCGTATAAAATTTACAAATTACATCGATAAATTGGTCACCTTTTGAATTTCTGTAAGGTGGGATTGTTTTTTAATCGTTTTTAACTCTTCCCAGATTCTTTCAATTCATTTCTCTCATTTCTGATGGATAAACCTATTTCTATCGCCAATGGATTTTTTTAAATTTAATAACTTATAGCACCATTTCTTAAACAACTTTCATTAAGCGCTCAACATAGCACAACTTTTACTCACAATTTATTCATTCGTTCCGTCCACGTCGTTTTTTATTGTTTCATCCGATTCCGAAGCATAAATTTAATAATTACAATTCATAAGAAATGATTGAATGCCGGCAATGAAGAATATATCAACTAAAATGCCGGAAAAATTCCTTTAGAATGCCTTTGTTTAGGCAATTGGATTCACTCCAAAATGCTGTGGTCGAAGAGCCAATTAATTAATTATTTTGCCAAATGTTGCAGCCAACTCAGAAATTAGAATAGAAAGTACGGTCTATGCTAATTTAAAATGTAGTACAAATAATTTATGTAAATACTCCTTAAAATTAAATTTTTGAAAGTTTTTAGTAAGCGGTTATTTTGTTAGAAAAATTTAGAAATACACTGAACATCAATGGTTGATTATTATTCCATCAATTAACTTTACTAAAAATCGTATTGACGCAATTAAACTTAGATCAAAGGGAGATGATAACAGCACCGATATGTTCGTTACACTGCATTTGAAAACACTATATTCATCGCGAAACGTTTTAGTAATTTTTTCAAATTTAAAACTTAATACGATCTCGTGGTTGTAAGGAATTATAATAAATAAAATAACTCTGTACTAAAACGCTTAAGGAATTTTTAATAATTAAGTCCACATTATTTATTAAAAAAGTATGGTACTATTTTAGTCGAAAAATGAAATTTTCAATCAACTACTATGTACAAAAAACAATATTTTTAAAAAATTCTACACTAGCTTGAGCGATAATAGCTAAAAGGAATTTTTTTTAGATTTCAATTTGGACGAATTGTACTGCATGTCGTACAGGAACTTAGATTAAAAATGTCTTGCGGTAATGGCTGATGTGTTGCCACTTTTTAAATTTTGTCAAAGACATTTCTTTTTTTGTTTAATACATGGCTGATAAATTTCGAATATTATCATTCTAGTACATTTCCTTTCACCGCAAAGAAATGCTCAAAAATACGCTTCTGTTAGTCTGCTAGTTTCACACAATTATAAGTTTTGCGTGCTCTAAATAACTGGAACATTCACAGCTAGAGACTATATTATCCACGTCATAAACTTCGGGTATTCAGCTCACAGGGAATTCCCAAAAAGCTACTACTGAATATTATTTACAATATAGATAAAAATATATTACTTGACCATATTGTTAAATAGTTGGAACGAAGGAAATAATAGCATCGTTATGCTCCTGCTCAATATGGTAGGAGCCAGAGATAGCTTTTTTATATATTTTCAAATAATTTATAGTTTTCCTTAATCTTGATACACTTACCTAAGTCTGTTAAAATGTGATCGTTAAAGAAGTCCATGGCCAGAAATCAAAACGTTTCAGCATATATTTGTTGTTTATAACATCTTTACATATCGATTTCAATGTTTGCAACGACAAGTAAGACACATGATCTATAGTTTAAAGGCAGATAATGGTTTAATTAAGTTAATAAAAAGGAAAAGTAAAAAAAAGGAAAAACGTTAAAGTAAAATCCAACTGAAATTTAAAAAAACTATTTCACACTCTTTTTTATTAAATCAAGAAGTTAAAAAAACGTTAATTCAATTAAAGAATTCATTTGAACACGCACACAAATAGACTCATGAACACAAGCAAGTATGTAAGCATCTGAATGTATACGCCTGTCATATTATCACATAACTAAGAATAAGATGCTTTGAATCCTAAGCCATCACATTTTACAAAGCCATAAACACGCACACAATCCCACTTCCAATCTTATTGCCTTGCGATATTTAAGCGATAAATGAAATAATTTAATTTATATAAGCGCAGATGAGACATGTAGATTTTTATAAATCTTATGTATATTCTACAACGTTGATTCCTTCCCTATTCTATATTCCATTGAACTTTATCAGCAAAGAAAATGACGCTATTATCTAACTAAGCAAAATTAAATTTTACTCACATGCTATATTCTGAGATAAAATTAGTTTATCTGTAATATTTATTCTAGCACATACACAAATATCGATTTACATACTCGTAGATACGCCCTTTGGATTTTCAGACAACAGGTAATGAAAGCAATGGAACGCGTGCTTGCATTTTATATAATTAGCAAACTTATGTGTTTAATATATAATTTTTATAGCAAAAAAGAGTACCCCTTGAGGTTTCATTTTGTTGAATATTGCTTTTGCATAGTTTAAGTAGAATTAAATAAGTTTGCAAGTAATGCTTGAGCTTTTTTTGGGCTTAGTCATTAGCTGCGACCTCAATAATTGCTTCCTATCCTACACGACGCATAAACATTACAGCTGTATTCTGACCAACACCGCAAAGACGTCACCTACCACAATATAGTACCAAATTCAATTTAATTTTCTAAATTTTTGTGGTTTTTTTTTGTATTTTGAATCCTAATTACAAGTTTGGAGAGTTAAAAAGCAAATTAAAAATTTGTGATTGCCTCTTGAAGCGATCGCGGGGTATTTTCCTTGTGTAATTTTATGGAAAATACATCGAGGAAAGTGTATTAAAACCTAGATAAAAGTATTAATTAGTTTCATTAGATTAAAAGTTTATCAAACGTTTGAGAGGTAAGAGCAATGCCTTTGAATTCCTGCAGATTCAACCCTCAAGCATAACCATATTGACTGGTTTCAACCACTAGTCTTAAAATTTCTTTTTTTATGTCAACCAATTTGAATGTAATATTTTCAAGTATTATATTTTTAGGTGATGGTTTACATTAGAAATGTGGGTGTACCAATTACTTAATTCCACTGAATCAATGAGTTTGAAAAGCTGTAAAATATTCTTACAGATTAATTTCTTTTTCAAAATTTGTCAAATTCATTGCAATTCGCTCTATTTTTTAATAACGTAACTGAACAAATCTCTTTCGTCATAAAATCCGTAGTAGATATTCAAACTGAAGCTTGTGACAAACGCAGTCTAGTGAAATGGCGTGAGCTACAACAACAGAATACGGTTGTCTATTTCACTTCTCAATAGCAGATGCCATCTGTTCAGGATTTCAGAATGCAAGTGTACCGAGAATAAATATCGGAGCGGTCTTAGAATTCCAAAGAAAATAGAAAACCCGGTAATAGCTTCATCAAATTATTGAATAATTTGATAGATTTGTATTTTTCGTAATTATTTTCGTAACATCTTTAATATTCATAACATATATATCTTCATGTGTGAAAAAGCTTGTGGGAACATTTTATTCTAAACGGAAAGGAAGAAATAACGAAACAAGCAGTTCTAAATGCCATTAATCTAAAGTAAATTAACAAAAAATTTAGTTATATTCTTATTACGTATTGAGAAAAACTGTAAATGCGTGGTTGCTAAGGCTGGAAAGCTATTAAGGAAGATTCCTTAAATTTAATTTTAAGTTTCTAGTTTCATCTTATTGATATGGTCCAGATGTTAGTGGTCAATCAATTAGAGATTTCACGAGAGAGTATACGCAGCCTGAAGAGGTTTCGAATTTGCCACTATATGATATGAGTATCATTGATTCAGGATTCAGGAATGTGTAGCCTGTTTATATTTCTCGACTTCGTATATTTTGCTGGTCAAGATCTCATGCATCTGTATGAAAAATATATGTATATACTCTAGACAATTGAGCTAAGCTCGTTAGCATGCCTTCATATTTCGGTGGTGATAAAAAATTACAGTTAATGAGTGACAATCATTAGAGTCGATTTAACTTAAACTTTTTATGAGTTGTTTTTAAACTTTTAACATGTGCATCTGAGTACTCCATTTCTGCCATTCGCCAAATGGATATATTTTCCGATGTATTACAAAATTTCACAAAACCACCGATGCTACTCTTCTCATTGGAATATTTTACTTTACTTTAGTCGTTACCGAATTTACTGATTGAAATAGATAGAAAGAGAAGGAAAGCAAGAAAATCGTAAAGACGGTGCAGGAAAAAAAAAGTAGAGAGTGAGAGCAGAGAGAGAGAGAATGTGTGTGTGAGAAAGAGAAGGAGAGAGAGAGAGAGAGAGAGAGAGAGAGAGAGAGAAGTAATTCATTATAGAGAAGAACAATGTTACGTTTTAAAAGCATTTTTGCCGACGTCTGAACTACGTTTGATGAGAAAAAAGACACAAAGTAAGTGCATACAGTTAACGTAACTAACTAAGTTTACCAGCGTATGCTTGTGGAAATTACTAAAGCTAGTCATCTCGCGTAAAGAGATAAGGAGAGGACGAAGATGGCGAATGCGTAAACGTAGAGAATGTAAGAAGACAACATTGATGATCCGCATGACGTTTATTATTTCTTTCTTTGCGAACAGAATGCATCTATGTATACAGACAACCGCAGACGAATGATGATGGATATTTATGGATATAAAAGATTGAAGTCTTTTTTTACCGAGATTACATGTAATAATAATAATAATAATAATAATAACAACAATAATAATAATGATAACAATATTAGCAAGATGCAAGCAAGAAGGAAGAGCGAGGTGAAGTAAAATTGACTTTTATTTTCCTTGGATTTTCGCATAAATTCGCTTGATGGATAATTGATCGTGTACAATTTATGAGATTTGTTTGCTTTGGATATTTTTATCAAGCGAAATGTGACACATGAGAAAATAGCAATTAAATAGCCAATTGAAATGAGGGCTATGTAAGGGGCGTTGTGATTGTGGCTGAAACTAGTGACAAAAATTACACACACATCTGCAGGCGCAGTCAGCCAAACACACCAAAACAACTCTCTAGACCTGTTATACTGGTTAATATTTTTCTTATTCGCAAATATTGTTTTTGCTTTAGTAACTTTAAAAAAATGTATTAAAATTTGTACAAAATAAAAAAGAACAAATGTTTTTACCACTTTTATATAATTATTCTTATAGACAGCATTTGCTTTTTAAAACCAAAATAAAAGTATATGGGTTTTGGTGTTGCCTTTATTTTTCCGGTGTTTTACGATGCCATACGTATTATTTTTTCTTTAATACTACACAGCGATATTTTAATTATATGTACGCGTAGAAATTTTTTAGTTTTCCTACTATTCTTGTTGTTGTACTTGTTGTTGTTATTTTCATATATTTTTATAACTACGTTTTAATTTGTTGTTATCACAAAAAGCGACAACAACAAACAGCAATTTTTTGTAATCATACTTTTTCATATTTTTATTATTATTTTTATATAAACATGCAATACAGTGACAGCTACAAAAAAGTGCAATTTAAAGATAAATAAATATTTTTCTTGTGCTTTTACACAATTTTAGAATTCTTACGTTAGCATATTAGACTAAATAATTGAATTAGAAAAACCGTTCACATTTCTTTAGAAAATTTTCTGTTTAGCTTCAGAATTAATTTGTATTTGAAATTACAGCTTAGATATTTCGCAACAAACTAGTTACGCTCTGCACACTTTTACAAATATTCACTGTACACTTTTACAAATATAAGCTGTGATTGAATATACTCTAAAAGTAACATTTACTCGGCTTAAGACACTTGTTTGGTTATACACATGTTTATTTGTTCATGTATATCTTCATATATACATAAATCTGTTTTGCCAAATACGAAACCTATCGAATTCCACTCGTATTACGTTTGAATTATGTATGTAGGTATATGCACTTTTAAATACATCGATATTTCTAGGTTGCTAAAATGTATGAAGAGTTGTTGTTCCGCCCGTTTGTTCAACTTTTCTAAAGATTCTTTCAAACAACAAAGCATCTACACACGTTTCTTGCTGTCGCTCGAGTGGATCAAATTGATCAAGCGCAAACCTCAACTAAGCCTTCAATAAAATTAACTTTTCAAACTTGAGCATTTGCGTCTGTGCTTACATCTATTTAACTCGCTCTCTTTCAGTAATTACTCCCTCGGCATTTGTGCAGCTTAAGTTTTTTATATTTCGCATATAAGTCTCTCTTGCTATTTGATTAAATGGTGATGATGATGAAGATTGGAAGTATGCTATGTTTGTCATCGAATTTGATATATAATAAAATACGCATTATGGACATGCACTTTCTTAGCGTGCTATTTTCAATTGATTCGATAATGTTCTTCTCGGGATGTTTGTCTTGGAAACTAATGGGTTAACAAATGAAGTGGATGTCCGCAACACATCGCTCAAGGTTAAAAATGACAACCATCTTCAAAAAATATTTTCGCCTTCGAATATTACGGGATGGAGATCAGATAATTTATTGAAGCGTCCACAATTAGCACAAAGCAATTCGTAGTGCTGCGTATTCAAGATTTTATGCTCAGTTTTTTTTTTTTTATTTTGACACAATAATTTTATAGCGATACGAATATTTCGTCCCAAGAAAATTTTTAAAATTGATCAATTACAATTTTTTAAAATTTGCTTATATAAAATTTATAGTTGGTCTGCTTTCTTTATTCATGTACTTACTTGCCTGTGAAAATGCGGTTTTGTATTTACATTTTTTATCAATACACACTCTCTCGTAATCTTTTTCGCTTTCATTTTTATATTTTCTCTTAAAATCAGCGATCGCAAACTCATAGGATAGTGACTAATAAAGCCACATTACTAGAAGTTTAAATAAATAGTTGAAAAGTTATGCTCGGCACGGCTGCATGTTGACATCTTCAGTTATAATTAGCGCGGGCTGAGTCCTTTAACAACCTAGTTGCCGTATCAACTTCAAAGCATACATCTGATGGATGTGCCAGCACCTTCCGGGTAAATGTGCAAATTTAAAATTATTCATATATCCTACCTTATGCAATAATTGTGAGCAAACTCTCAGTTCGATTTAGTTACTCTTCCAACTTGATGCGGGAAAATTTGGAATCCATATGCAAGGACTAAACTACGGCGTCTATGCCATTTTACTCACAAATTATTGATTTTTACAATTTAATTCGATGGTAATAATAAAATGTTCGTCAGATTTGCCAAATTCGTTTTTCTGGACATGTTTTAAGCTTGTGATCAGAATTAACAATGTAATCTAAGTTGTAGTACGTACATTAAATGACGATCGAATGATCTGACATTTGGGATAAGTGATATACGATCTAGGTGCAAACAACATTTTCTTATGATTGGAAACATATAGATTAGCGGTGGTTGCATTTCTTAAAGTAAATTTACAGAAAATATATGTAAATAAAGAAAAAACTGAAATTTGGTATAATGTTCTTTACAATTGGTAAGATTTTTCTAATTGCATTAGTAAGTAAACTTTTAAGATAACTCTGATCTGCAAAAGTGCGGATCGCTTTCTGTTGTAGGTAAAAACTTTGCCCTTAAATTTTTCAAATCCATGTATCTTTCCGAACCTTGTAGGCTTATTTGTTAACTTATCTTGTGAAATATATGACAAACTTGAACGTTGGGCGTCACGTTAAGGGCATTAGACGTTACAAATAACAGAGAGATAGACAAATGGCGCAAATAAGCAATGTTTCACAATGACCAGAAATACACAACCTTTTATAATTGTAGTGTTCCCATGTATTGCAATTGCCAAAAATTAATAGTTTTGCCTTATTCGATTGGGAATATGATGTATTCAACAAAAATTAATTTTATATTACCTTCATTAGTTTTAATATAGCCTCCTCTCCACGTTATGATACTAAGGAGTGAAAACGGGAGGGAATGAGAGAGAGGGAGAAAGAGAGAGAGAGAGCGCGAGAAAGAGACAGAACTTATTTTTCTATTGAAATGAATAAAAAAATCCCTTGCTAAAAGATCTCAGAGGTGTACTTTGTACTCATGTGTGTTGAGCCGTACAGATTATTTCAATAGGGACTTTTTATCTAGTTTCGTTTTAAGAGGAAGGAATTGTAAAGGAATACGATTTTGTGAATATCACCATTGTAACTGCAAAGAACTGTTTCAAAAATCATGATAGAGCAACAAAATGCACTCCACTGTCGCCAAAAGCACAACTTTTTGAAGATGTCGGTTTTGTGATTTTATAAAACAATTGAAAAGAAACGTACAGGGAGTTAAAGAATCGAGGTAACTTAGGCAGAAAATCTTCGTTGTTGCTGCTATTAGGTATTTAAAATAAAAAAGAAACTCGATTTCTTGTCCGTTTTAAAAAAAATAATTCATGAAATTACTTAGCACAATCAATAAATGGGTTTAACATTTCTTCGTTTAAGAGAGCACATTTATTTACTAAGCAATTTTTCTTGGTATGTTACCCAGTAACGAGTTGTGATTTAGATACCATTGCTTTAACGTCTCAATAGTTCGGTTGACATTGATTATTATCCTTTACTGTTATTGGTAAGAACCCTTTATTATTATTGTTAGTACTTAAATTTTTGCTCAAGTTAATAAAAATTTTATTAAAATATCAGGGACAGTGATTCTCTTCTCTTTAGGCAAATATAATCTTATGGGTCTTTAAAAACAAGGGCGAATTCGTACGAAACATTATACAACGTCAGTAACACAAATTTACGTTAAGAGCATGGCATTACTAACGCATGCAATAGGAAAAATCATAGCAGTGTATTAATATTAGATGGATGCCTGCGCTGACCGGTTAGAATGCTTAAGCGTTGTATATATGTGCGTTATGAGCTTAAAATCACGTGACGTATGCAGGTTTGGAATGGATTGGGAATGCTTATGGCTGACACAGATTTGCTACGGTACCACATGCAACTGCACACTCTTTTACTGACTTTGCGATGCCTGCGATGAGTATTAGTAAGTTGTATGTATAATTAAATTATTGTCAGTAATTTAGTGAAGTCACATCATAATTTGATCATTCAATTCTTTTTTTAATAAACAAAAATTTTCGTACATATAAAAAAACTTAAGATAGGTTAACTGTTATATATTCAACAAATTTGTTGTTAGTAAAGCAAATTAAAAATCTATCCATAAACCATAAGTGCAAATGACGCAATTGGCATACTTATAATAAATAAGAAGATTACGTTCGAATCTTTTATATCCAACAACACGATCCTAAATATAGGTAAGGAACAAAATTTTGATATTCCATAATATTGGATAGACGTGATAGATTTTTCCTATTTTCAAAATAAAAGAGAATTTCATACGGTGTATGTGCTGTATTTCGTGAGTAACACACAAAAAACACGAAAACAAAGCTGTTCAAAATTTTTGTTACATAGACATAGGGGCGTTGTAGGCGCGTTCTCTGAAAAGTTGGGGTAATTTTCAAATTTTAAATAGGAAGATGTTTGCCGCAAATACTAGGCAGTTGCGTAGATGGACAATTGAGCAGACAGAGAGGCTTAGATGTATTCCGAATTTGAAACTAGCCATGTACTTATGTATTCTATGGGGATTTTGAGCTTCGCATCTCTGTGTTGTAAAATTTTTGAAAGGAAAAATGAAATTATTACACTCTACAAGTTTAAATCGACGTGATTGATATTTGCCATTCCTTTTAGAGATACTACAGCATAGCCTGTAGAATATATCGCCAAACTTTTGTGGATTTACTTTGTGAATGAGTTTATGAATGAGCAAAAGACCAATTTTTTATTCCTTTTGAAAAACAGAGGCTTTCTCAATTTACACAGTACTGTAGGCGTGTTCTTTGACTGATTTGATCCATGTTCAATATTAACTTGCGTTCAAGAACTGCCAATGTTTTTGCCCAACTTGGAGTCGATAGCTTCATTTGTGCGGTCGGAAGAATGTTTACAACTGACATTATGCAGACCAACGGACAGCCGTAATCGATTTAGAATTTGATTCTGATTTGGTAGGTATAAAAATTGAAATAAAACTAGGAACAAGTATAAGACTAATTAATGAAGTTGTTAAATTTGCATGTGTTTGTGTCAACTGTAAAGACTAAAGTCACGAGTTAATTTTGGTCTTGCATTTAGCAAGTGCTTCATACGTATTTAGCGTAATTTGAATTTTACGCATTGTTACTTTTTCTACCCCTGTTTAAATCCTTCCGGCTACTACATGTATGTATGTCCAGCTTTTCCTTAAGATAGAAAGGAACAGCCGACATGTTATCAGATTATGCTTAACATCTGAGGACCAGCTATGAGAAAACGTATGGTCTATGCGTTACAACGGATGTAGAGCTTTCAGTATAATCGATTTCATTGGACTATCAATTTAGACGTTCTTCTTAAAACAATATTGTCTGGGTCACATTTGAAATATTTGATTAGAATATTTTAGGATTTCCTTCACATAAATTTAAGTTTATTTAACGCAATATTTTTTTTCAATGTATTTTTAATATACGTTTGATTATGCATTTAAATTCTTTCTAATTGATTAGTCAATGCATTTCTTAACGTAATTTTTTTTTTTTTTATTTCAACTTTATTTACCTGCACTGCTCTTGTGGAAATCACAAAATTTTCTGAAATATTAATTTCAGGTACAATTTCTTTCGCTTTGTTGCTACATACATATTATATTATATAGAGGAAAAGTTTAATATAATTAATAAAAATCATAAAATGCTCTCTTCTTCTTTCTCATTCGCACAGAATGTTGTTGTCCGAGTGCCAGAATATCTTTTCTATAAGATGATTGACAATAAGGATTGGTGAATGTGTCTGTGGTACACAACGAAATAAGGTTAAAATTAATTCTTTTAAGTTCTACAATGAGTATAATCATTCGCTGACTCAGATGGGGTTTTCTGGTTCGCAGCGTCAAAGTCGCTTCTACGGACGATCTGGTGAAAAGGCAGGCTGACAATGCTACATTACAAGACTATTAATTATTGGAATGCTTCTCGTGAGCAAAAGACGCTTGAAAGTCTTCAGTACTAGCGAAAGGATATCGGAGCTATTTGGGAAGTGACACAAAAGTGTGACAATGACATAATATACATCCATAATTGTCAGAAACACATTCGTATTTTCTTGAAAACATTCATGCGTTTCTAACCCAGGAACTCATTGATAGAGGAACAAGCATCAAGGCATTTCAAACGTCCTTCACTGAGCAGGCACGTGCAGCCGTTGCTAGCGCAGCTAATAAGGTTGCTGCAGTCACCGCTGAAAAATCACATATCCGTCAAACTCTAAACCTTTGAATGAGAGACAACAGCAATTCTGAACTGGCAAAGATATGAAAGTTTAATTTCATAAAATTGACACATCTCCATATGATTCATTCAAGATTAAGAGCTAGCATACTTTAGAGGGAGTGGATGAGCAACCAATAAACGATGCCTGTC